GTTTCCCAAAACTTAGGGTACCTTTAAAAGGGGGTTATAGGGGATAGAAAGGGGTTATATGGGGATATATAGGGTTTAGTGTTTAGAGTTGAGGGTTTCCAAAATTAGAGAACCTTATTTAGGGTCCCACAATAAGGATTACAGTGCCTTATCGTAGTATTATTGGGTCTACATTGGGCTCCCCTTTTTCTGGGAAACTACCACTTTCGTGGAACTGAGATCCAATGCAAACACATTCCACCTTCTCGTTCTGTGAAGGCGTGTCCTGGGCACTGGAACAACTGCTGTCGGCGAGCACATGGAGGCCTTGGGCTTTGCTTCTTACTGGCGTTGTTGTGCATGTGAGCCATAATGTAAATTCCTTGAAAGGGGTTATATAGAGGTGTCTTATAGGGGTGATTAAAGTTATTAAAGGGGAAACAAGGAGTTTAGACTGCATGTGGAATGTCCTTCCAAGCTTGAAAGCAGGGAAGCCTGTGCCAGGATAATTACTTTGCGCGCATTCAGGAGTGCCTGAGTGAGACTGTCCGACGGCAGGCTGCTAATAGTTGAGTTGCTGGTAATGTAGTTGAGGAGCCACTGGCTGACCTCAGACGCATTGATGTCCAAATTTAAAGACATCGAGGAGGCTGGAGTCCTACTGGTGCTCTAGGGGGAGTGGGGGAGTGAATTATAGGGGTATATATGGGAATTATGTAGGGATTCTTCTAGGGGTCCCCCCCACTCTTCTTCAAGCACCATTAAGGAGTTGGAGGTACAACCTTGGCCAGTACAGGGCACAAGGCCTGCGAATGGCTCTTTCTTAACACCCTTGCCAAAGGCAAGCTGACAAAACTTTGTTTAGCATGATTGTTGGTGAAGAGAAACGGCCTGCCTGCCTTTTATTGTGTTGGAGTATCTGCACTAATCATGCAGTTCGCATCCGCAAAGTTCAGCACCTACATGGTTGTTTGAAAGCAGACTTGTTGCTGGAGATTCCTGACAGATGCAGAGCAGAAGATCAGACCCATCCGTCGATGACAATCCGCAGGCAGCATTCTTTAGTAACTTTAGAAACGCGGGGTGTAGGGATTACATAGTGGTTGTATGGTAGGTTCCCAAAAATAAGGGGATCCCAATATAGATCCCCAAAATATTATAATCCTTCCTCTTGGGACACCAAAAAAGTACCACTAATCTAGGAAACCACCATATGGTGCTGTATAGGGTTCAGTTACCTTGTTTGCCTAAAGGTCAGTGAGGCCAGGCAGAGGACTTTTCGAACGCCTTGGGGATGAGGCATTTGCCATTTCGCAAGGGTTTAGGGTTCGGGGTTTTGGGTTTAGGGCTTAGGGTTTCGGGTTTAGGGCTTAGGGTTCAGGGCTTATGGTTTAGGGCTTAGAGTTCAGGGTTCAGGGCTTAGGGTTCAGGGCTGAGGGAGTCCCTGCAAAGCAGGTATAAAGCGGTATATAGGGCCGAAACCCTAAACCCTAAAAGAGGAGGAGCGGAGGAGCCTGACCTGGCGGTAATGAAATGAGTAGTAGCAGATATTTTTTTGGGGGGTTTCCCAAAATAAGGGGTGCCTACTATAATGGAGAATCAAATGGAAAAAAATGGAAAATGAAATGGAAACTGGGATTATATAGGGGATTATAGGGGTTAGGGTTTCCCAAAACAAGGGGTGCCTTTTTGGGGGTCCCCATCATGAGGACTATAGTTGTCATATTTTGGGGGGGCTTCCCAAAAGAAGGGGTGCCTTTTTGGGGGTCCCTATAATGTGGACCATGGCAGTTAGGGATCCAGGCTCCCCCTGTTTAAGGAAAGTACACTATTTTGGAAAATTTACATAGGGGTTATAGGGTAGTTTTACCAAAATAAAGGGAGCCCAATATACACCCCAAAATTCTATAATCCTTCTTATAAGGACCCCATATGCCATAATATTTGTTTTAGGGATTTTAGAACATGATCAGTAGCGCTTAGGAGGACCCCCCACCCTGTAATAGTGGTATAATAGGAATATAAGAGGACCCTAATATAGTCCTTGTTATCCATAATAATAGTCACTATTACTGGGTGGGGGGTCCACCTAAAGTAGCGGCGACTGGCTTTGGCAGGCGCGCAGCGGACAGATGCCTGAGGAGTGGACGTGGCAGACGCAGAGCGCGGCCTCTGAGGTGGGTTCCATTGCCACACCGTTTAGGGTTTAGGGTATGACTCTTCAGATCTTCGCACCATGTTACGAGTAGGTTTATCACCATTACTTCGGGTTTGGGGGATGTCATTTTGAGAGTAAATTTTGAGATGAGGACATTTGAGAACCCTAGGTAATGGTAAGTTCATATGGGCTTGAGGGGTCAAGGGTTTAGAGTTTTGAAAGAGTCATTGATGCCCTGAAAATGCCTAGGTAATGTCGGGATAATGAAGGGTAATGTAGGGTTACATAGGGATAGTGGAAAGAAAATGGAAATTGACCCTAAACCCTAAACCCTAAACCGCATAGGGGACTGTTAGAGCCGTTGCTGCCACCAAGGGGGAAGTTTGTTACCAGGGGGGCTAGCTGGGGGTTTCCCAAAATTAGGGGCAGATTCAAAGGGGGTTATAGAATATATATATATATACATACAAAGATAGATCCAGGGGTTATGTGGGGATTATGTAAGGGATCTATAGGGTTTAGGGTTCCCAACAATTTGGGGTGCCTTTCTGGGGGTCCCAATAATAAGGATGAAAGTATATTGGGTCTGCCTTGGGGTCCCCCTACGTATGGAAACTACCAGCTAGGGCACCGAGTATCAGCAGGATCACCGAGTATCAGCAGGATAAAGCTTGCTATGAGTCAATGGTGTTGTATGCATGATATTTGGACTATATTCTTGCCACATCCATCTTTGTTACAATGAACTGGGTTGCTGTGAGGGAACTGAAAACCTTATTACTTATCGTATACCCAAAATATGGTAACCCTAAACCCTAATCCCTCAACCCTAATCCCAACATACCTAATCCCAATATACCCATAGTATGGTACCTTAATTTAAGTTCCTTAACAGCAAGCCAGTGAAGAGATTCTAGGCTTTGCATGGCTTTGCGGCCTGTCCTCTCCTAGTATATTATAGTATTTGAGAGTATATTCTAGTAGATTGTAGTATATTGTAGTCTATTAAAGTAGATACGATAGGATATTATAGTAGAGTATAGTATAGAGAGCAGGTGGCTGTGGGGCCTGGGTTTTTGAAACACCATATTTTGTATCTTCTGATAGTATATTATAGTCTATCAAAGATATTATAGTAGATTCTAGTACGTGCAGGCGATGGAGAGGGTTGGAAAAAATTCTAGTGTATTATGCAGGCTCCTGCCGAAAGCGAAGAGACGGCCCCGCCATGGTGGCCGCCTTGGCCCAGCTTGAAGTGGGTGATGTTTTTTTGTATTAGGGTTTTAGGGTTTAGGGTTTTAGGGTTTAGGGTTTAGGGTTAGGGGTTTAGGGTTTAGAGGTTTTTTTTTTCCCTACGGGGTTAGTAGAGAATAAGAAGCTAATTCCCATATAGATCCTGATATAAGCGTTTTGTATTAGATGCGGTTTCCTTTTGCTGAAATCTGTTTCCATCATAGATCTTATCCGCAGAATCTACTGAGTCTACTGTCAGATGCTTCCGTACCATCGTTGCCTGTAAATCGTGCATCTACATGACACTTGGCCCTTCTCAGTATCAGACGCAGCGCGAATGCATCCACACAGGACACGAATTTTCCATCGTCTTCTTTCCTGAAGGTGTTGTCTCCCGTGCTTCCTCCGCATCCTCATAGACACCAGCTCATTCACTGCCGGGCTTGTTTATCCATCATCCCAGTCTACCGTTCCTGTATTTATGCGTGTTATGTGCTACTAGGGTTTCTTTTTCCACGAGCTCGAAAGGTAGGGTGAAGCAGCAGCGCAGGGGCAACTGCCGAAGTTGCATCTACTTGGCGATTGGCGTTTTGACATTGCTGTGCTTGTTTTGAAAGTGCCGCCCTCCACTACCTAAACGAAGAAGCTGGTGTGGCTTGCTGTGAGCCGCTCATGGGGATTCGTGTTTCGAGTGGATGACGTGATTTATGTCACTAGTACATGAGTGCAGTCTTTTCAGTGACAATCCGGTATTAAGCCAAGAGTCTCGTTTCCAGCAGGATGACTGGCAAATAGTGCATTGCTTCTACTGTTAGTGTCATTTTCTGTGATCATTGTTACTACGATTACGATTGCCATTATTACTATTGTTAATATTCTTTGATTTTTTTAATTAATGTTCTTATTATTCTCCTCAACGTTATTTCTACCTTTTCCATTACTATCATGGCTACTGCTGCTGTTGTTGCTAGTAGTGTATTTTTTTTATCACTACTGCTATGACCACTGCTGCTACTACTGCTTCATGATTTTTATTCTTAGGATGAGGTGATGTGATAATCTAGTTTCGATCTGCATGGTATCCCTTTGAAGCTGGGCTTTGTAAGCTTCTGCGCTGCAGAGGAGCAGCCTTTCTTGCGAAGACCGAAAGCGCTTTGGTCTGGACGGCCTTGCTCTCAAGCACCGTGCTGTGGCCACTTGTGACATGTGAGGGTTGCCGACAATGAGGGGTCGCTTTCTGGGAACCCACTAAAGATTAAAGTAAATGGGGGGCGATCTGGGCTTCCTCCTATTTTTGGCACTTTTTGTTTGACGCACATACTAGACAACTGGGACGAGAGGTCTGTAGCATATCTATAGAGTTGATCGTTCGTGTGGTAGTTCCATAGACTGGGGGACCTCAAGATAGACCGCAAACTACTATAATCTTTTATTGGGGATCCCCAAAATGGTACTTGGGAAACCCTAAACCCTTCATCCCCAATAGAACTCATAATGTACTCTATAGCTTCCTTCAAAGGTACCCATAATTTTGGAAAATGTGAGCCATAATCTAAACTCCTTAAAGGGAGTATATATATATACATATGGGATTCTGTAGGGTACTTCTATAGGGGTTATTAAGGGGATACCAGGAGTTTAGACTATAGCCCTAAACCCTAAACCCTAAACCCGAAACCCTAAACCCCCCTACACCCTAATCAGGACCCAACATTATAGCTCATTGGCATCCTCCTGAAGGTCAAGACCTGCCGCCTTCGCAGAGGCTTTGCCGTGGCGATGGGTATATTGGAATGGGTTTAAAGGGTTTAGGGTTTAGGATTTGAAGGGTTTAGGGTTTAGGAAAAGAACATGGAAACTGCTATATGATACTGGGGTTATCTAGTAATTATGCAGGGAGAATGGAAAAGAACATGGAAACTACCATGGTATATTGGCGTCATATAGGGAGTATTGGGGTTATATAGGGGTTATATAGCGATAATGGAAAAGAACATGGAAACTATTATATTATATTGGGGTTATATACAGGTTATATAGGAATAATGGAAAAGAACATGGAAGCTACTGTTCAGGGTTCAGGATTCAGGCATATATGTCCCCAATAATGGCGAATCAAATGAAAAAGACGATGGAGTGTGGCATGTAAACTAGGATACATGAAGCTTATAATGGTTAGTAGGGTTTCGTAAAATTTGGGGTACCATTTTGGCGTTTCCATTATAAGGGTTGAGGAATTTTGGTGTATCTGGGGTTCCCCTTTTTTTGTGAGACCACCACATTTACATGGCCCTACGAAGGCTTTTGTGTTTGGACATGGTGAGCCAAGATTGCTGCCCCCTCTAAACCCTAAACCGAGCTCTTCTATCAGGATCTCTACTTGTAAAAGTTTGTTCCACTGTGAAGAGATCTATATCTCAAGAAATCGCGTCTCGCCCCTCAAGGCAAATCGAGCACGAAGAAAAACGCAATCTAGGATTTGTGTGGTCCTTGTTTAACATCCAAACCCTAAACCCCTAAACCCCTAAACCGTAAACCCCTACACTCGAAACCCTAAACCCTAAACCCCTAAACCCTAAGCCCCTAAACCCTAAACCCTGAGCCCCTAAACCCTAAACCCTAAGCCCCTACACCCCTAAACCCGAAACCCCTAAACCCCCTAACCCGAAACCCCTAAACCCTAAACCCTGCCCTGAACTTCCAGGATGGAAGCGGCGTCTGGCAACCCCCATCTCCCGACTGCACGGGTGCTTGGAATTTTTTGGTTTTGATTTGGGTCATTCCCCCTCCCAGTAACTGTCCATGAAGGTAGTTCGTTGTATAGGGATAATGGAAAAGAAGATGGAAACTATAGGAACTATAGGGGTTATATAGGGTTTATATATTGATTATAGGGCGTATATTGGGGTTTGGGTTGTTCTCAAAATAATGGGACCCTTTTGGTTATGTATTATATTCATATATTTTATTACGGCACCGAATATCTAGGGGTACCAAAATGGGACCCTAATTTTGGGAACTACCCTTGAACATGTTCCACAATTCAAAAGAGGCTTTTCTGAACTTCCATTGCAAAGGCAGTTTCAAGACATGCAGTCAGTCACCATCCAGATGTGCTGTGGCTGCAGTCTCAGTTGTGTTGCAGCATACGGTTCCGAATCCCGTGATGTTTGAGAATGGGGATCTTTATCGTCACAGCTTCAACAGTTTGGCCCCGTCAGGGGAAATGCTGGAATGCCTGGACCTCCATCCATGGCGAAGACGCTTGCACAGTTGGAGGCGGCAAAGCGTAAGCAACACTGCTGTTCCCCCATAGACCACCTACTGTAAGCCTCAAACCCAGGCTTTCACCATAACACCATTATGGTATTTTCCATTTTCTTCTGCATTTGCTCATATAACCCTTTATAATATAGTAGTTTCCATGTTCTGTTCCATTAGCCCTATATAATCCATTATAGTAGTTTCCATTTCATTTTCCATTTTCCCTATATAACCCTATATAATATAGTAGTTTCCATTTTATTGTCCATTATCCCGAAATAACCCTTAACCCTCAAAACCCCAATCCGGAGCTCGCCAGGCAGTTGGCATGGCCACTAACCTCTCGCGGCTGGAGGTTGCACCTCTACTTGGGGTGTGTGTAGGTGTTGGGGCCCAGGCAATTTAAGTGGGACATAACGCCTTGGAGGTTTTTTACGCGAAAACAAGAAATTGAAGTCAGCATTTCAGCCTCTCAAGCTTCAAGTATGACTTCACTAAAATGGAAACTACTTTATTATGTAGAGTTATTCAGGGATGATGGAAAAATAAAATGGAAACTACTATATTATATAGGGTTATGTAGGGATTGTCGAAGTTCAAAGCAGGCCTGACAGCATTTTGAATCGAAAGGTTCTTGCCCATGTCTGAAGGAGACGGAGCGAAAGCTTCAACGACTGAAGCTGGGATGATGTCCAGGCTCTCAGCCACGTTGCAGGCTCAAGTGAGACATAGCCTAAACTCCTTAAAGGGGGGGTTATATAGGGGATTATATAGGGGACTACCATAGGGCTTATTAAGGGGTATACCAGGAGTTTAGACTATGGCTCAAGTTGCGGAAGTGTAATTTTCGGAGTTCTTGCCATTGCTTGCATTGTACTTTGCGTTGGAGTTTTCTCCAATCTGGAATCAAATACTTTCTGAGCCTCCGCAACTTGTACTGCCTTAGAGACTTGGAGTTTGACATGAGGGTTCATGGCCAGCTGGAGGTGGCAGTGTTGGTGGGTTCAACTGACCATTTCGCTGTGTTGGGGGCTCATAGTGCGAAGTGCACATGTCTCACTTGTCTCACCCCTCTCTGCTTGTTCTGCATGTAGTGGTTCACGAGCAGGAAGGATACAAAAGGACACTTCCGGGCATTTAATGCACACTGCGATTATAGCGGCATTGGATGTGCAGGGTGTGCACTAAGCGTCAGCGCATTTGTTGGGTTTCCTTGATGCCCTGGCCGGCCCAAGTTTCACACGTTCAGATCCATTGAAGTCAGGACCAGCCAGGCAATCATGTTTGCTGGAAGCATCGAGGACAGGCTGAGGGCTCGGGCACAGGATGGGCTGGGCACCTTTCGGCAGCAGCGCGCAGCCCCAATCAACTCATCCGGCCATGCAGAAGTGGTTCGCGACTACTCATCGAAGTGCCATCACATAGTGGAGCTGAAGGAGAAGGCGCGACGGATCGAGACCCTCGAGAAGCAACTGTTGAGATCGGAGGAGGCTCGTAGCCAACTGACAATGGACATCGATGTCTTGAGTGACAAGCTGGAGCAGGCTAACATCCTAAGGAAACGGAACGAGACCATCATCGAGTCGCAGAAACAGGCCATTCAGCAGCTGCAGCTTGCCCTCCGCAACCAGCAGAAGGCCGTCGAGGCTATCCTTGGCGAGGAGTCGGATTTCAGGCACGTGCAGCGCGAGGTGGAGGCCACGCAAGCGAGCATGAGACAGGTGCTGACACCAACCTCGCACCCTGCAGCCCCAAAGGCTACGGCAGTCCCACAGCGGCCGGCACCTGTAGTGGCTCCGGCTGCGGGATCTTACGGAGGCTTCAGCGTTTTCGCGGGAGATGCTGAGAAGGACGACGAGGACTCCGAGGAGACGGAGTCCAGCGCGCCCAGTGGGCCCACTGCACCGAGCGCTCCTACTGCGAAACTCTATACTCCTGGAACCACTCCGCGTACAGCGGCATCCAGCCCACGAGAACCAAGCCCGAATGCTGGCCGTTTCTTTTAGAAAGTTTCCTGTGGTCGGCATCGCAGTTGCGCACCAGGAATGGGAATCGTGGCTGGTCCTCTGGCTTCATTGCTGTAACCCCAATTACCTACAGTTTTATGGGTTAATATTGGGATAATGGAGAATCAAATGGAAAAGAAAATGGAAAATGAAATGGAAACTGGGGTTATAACCCTGATATATCCCTTTAAAGGGACATAGGGTTTCCATTTTCTTTTCCATTATCCCTATATAACCCCAATAGGTTATATTGGGTTTTGGCAGGCAAAGCAGCCAGGCCTCCAGCCGACTCGGCTCAGGGCTTGCCCAAGGCACCCGGAGCATCTGTGACTTCAAAGGCCAAGGAAAAATGCGAACTTTGGGGTTTAGGAAAAGAAAATGGAAACTAGAGGAATTATAGGGTTATATAGGGGTGATATTAGGGGTAATTTTGGGGTTATATTGGGGTAATATTAGGGTTATATAGGGATCATGGAAAAGAAAATGGAAACCCTAGGTCCCTCTAAAGGGATATATCAGAGTTATATTGGGGTTATAGAGTGGCTTCTTGTAGAACCTGAACTCCTAAGGGTCATCCGTACATCGCCCCGCATGACTGCAGCTTCTGAACCAAGAGAAATTGCCACTCATGAAATGTGAGGAGCCGGAGCAAACTCAACCCACGTGAAAGCATAGCAAAATATTTTTTGCAACAATGAGCACGCAATGTCTTGAGATGACGCCTTTCCCCTTGCAGCTTTGTGTCATCAATGCATGTGGGAAAAGCTTTAGGGCAGAACAGTATCGCTACAACACTCATTCTTTAGAGCGATGGCCGTGCAAGCAGTTGCGAACGAGCGATTCTTGCCTGCATGCTGGTCGCTGCAATTTGCTGTTTTGACTGAGTCTTGCCTCTCCCTATTGACGCTGAGATATGCTAGGCTTTCTCAGAGAGTGCTTTGTCAGGAATCGAGCACCATGCAGCGGCGAAAGAGAGAAATCTTGGGCTGGAGCCGCAGGTAACTCCTGGGATACCTGCCAGCAAAAACTTTTTGACTGCTAAATAACCCCTATTATAATGTAGTAGTTTCCATTTTCTTTTTCCATTATCCCCATATAACCCTGATATATACCCCCGATATATACCATATAATCCCTATACCTATAATTCCTGTAGTTTCCATATTCTTTTCCATTATCCCAATAATTTTGGCAAAGCAGCATGACCCTAAACCCTAAACCCCTAAACCGGAACACGCCAGCTTCTGCTTTCTTGGCCTCGCATCTGCTGCCTAAGGAGGGCTGGAAAGGAGCCCAAGGCATCTGGGACTCAGACTTCTGTTGATACTGTTGATGGAGGAAATCTTGCACCATTAGGGTTTTGGATTTTGGGAAAAGGGGTTAAGGCCTAATTAGTGATTACAGGTTTTAAGGTCCATGGGGCCCCTAAATTACTGTAATGCCTAGCACTTAAATGACTTTAAGTGGTGCAAAATTTCCTCCATCAACAGTGCTCAGAATCCTGCATGACCTTAATATACACTAGTCCCAATATTCCCAATATATAATGTACTTAGGGTCATGCAGGATCTCTAGTATCCACCTGTTGATACTAAAAATCCTGCATGACCTTGATATACACTAGTCCCATTAGTCCCAATATGTAGTGTACTTAGGGTCATGCAGGATTTTTAGTATCCACCTGTTGATGCTAAAAATCCTGCATGACCTTAATATACACTAGTCCCAATATTCCCAATATACAATGTACTTAGGGTCATGCAGGATCTTTAGTATCCACCTTTTGATACTAAAAATCCTGCATGACCCTAGTATACACTAGTCCCAATATTCCCAACATATAATGTACTTAGGGTCATGCAGGATTGTTAGTATCCACCTTTCTTGGCAGCCGTCACTTACCATGATGAGCTGTTCAATCATGCCATCACAGGAAGAAGTTGCCTCCACATGGCCAAGAGCAGATTGCAAAAAGGAGGATGTGCCCAAGGCACCTCAGGGTATCACGTTCAGCTGAGAGTTTATGGAATTCAGCATCTGCACGCACACACACACACACACCTCTCTCTCTCTCTCTCTGCCTCTCCCTCCCTCTCCTTTCCCTGCCCCCTGCGTCTCTCTACTGAAGTTTTCGCGTCTGTCCAAATCTCAGTTGCTGATTTGAAGGAGAGCGAACGGCATGTTGACTTCGGCTATCTCAGCGAGTCAGTTCTCAGTGGCCCGGCCTCCTTATGATCTTTCGGGTACCTGCAAAGCCCCTTGCGATACCACGAATGGGAGGGTTGCTCCGGAAGAAAAGCAGGTGTCTTTGAGAAGTCCCACCTCCAAACCTCAAAAGCCAGGCCTATAGTCCCCCTTAATAAGATATATTATGGCTTTGAATACATTATAGTAAGATCCCCACATACACCATATTCTATCTACTTAAGGGGACTATAGGGTTTAGGGTTAATGATCGTTTCGGATACTGATACATCCCTGAAATCCCTGACATTAGGGCTTAGGGATCTTTGTGCGGACCCCTGCA